CTCGATTTCCAATAGACGTACTTAGAGGTAGATGAGATGGTGGTTGAGGAGAATGTGTTGGTGACGTCTCTTCGCCAGAAACCCCACTTGTGCTCTCTTTTTTGGCGCGTCCTGCTGCACTTCCTGCTAGATTGTTGGAAATTTTCACAAAGCTTAAAATATATAGAGCTTAAGAACTAGATGATTGATTACGTCTCGGCTGTAGGTAGCCACTAACTTTCAGTGGTAAGTTTTCCCAAAAATTCTACAATTTATTATTGCGTGAATCAGATAATTGATTTCAAAATTCTAATTTTGAAATAAGAGGAAAACGAGCGGCAAGTTTCAAGTCAAAAATTTCTAGATAGGATGTCATAACCAACGTGTTACAATCACATTGCGCCACAACTGGGTTGAAATCACTGACAGGCGAAAAACATAGGGCATTTGCCTACAGATAAGTATATAAAGAATTTGGGCAATCTAAATAAGTGACCTTTTGCGCAGAAAAGCAAATTGTTTTATTAAGAGGGTAGCTTACGCTCATCAATTTCACCATACAAAGTAGTTTAGAGCAGTTATTCGAAATTAGGATTTGCTATACCTCTTCCACGAACGATGGGTCTCGTTCCACGACCAGGCACAATAAGTGGCGCGGGAGCATTAGCCAAAGCCGCTTGACTAGGATCGGCAGGAGAGTAAGCAACACGTGGACCTCCACTGGATTGAAGCAGGAGGACCCGATGAGGAGGAGGATCGGATCCTTGGTGAAAGGAACTGAAATTCGATCACAATGATTGCTACAGCAGCTTACTAACCTCTTTGCCGAAGAACACTAACCGATGTGGAGGCGGATCGACCTGGCGCTGCACCGGAGGTGCTGACGTCACTGACGCTAACTGACGCTGTCCATGTTGCTGCATCAACAAATGTGGGGTACCACTAAGTCGAGTTCTGTAATTAGTTATGACAAAATATTTCAAAAAATCAAATTTCCCTTGTAACACAATATGAATGCAATCTATGAATAGCATAGTCTACAAGGTAACTACCCTGTCGATCGCACATGTCCGGAAGGAGAGGACACAATCCGTGGGGCAGTGCGCTTCTGTTGGATGATAGAGGGACTTGCTATAGTCGAAGTTGTCATAACTCTTCGTGCGACAGGTGTCCCTCCGTATCCAGCCACTAAGAAGTGTTGTTGCTGTGGATGACCTAGACTTCGATCCGAAGCAGCTTGAAAGAGGACTTTTATAGAATTATTACGAAACCCAAAGCAATATTCACCTCGGTACCCGCTTGAAGTTTGCATGCTTGTACGAGCAGGTCTTGCAAGATAACCACTCTGTCCATCAGTAGTTCGATACACGGCTGTATCGCGAGGTGCCGTTAGCGACCTTAAGTCGGAAAAAGTATAAGGAGTAGAAATTAGACAGAACCGCTGCCAGAAATTAGAGGAACAATAACTAGTTAATTAAGAGAGAAACGGGAAAAATGAGAACTAAACAGAAGTCAAATTGAACTTT